CTACCCGAAGGAGTCTTAAAGCAGCTTACAATCTCTTTTCCCTTTCCCTTCCCCCAACAGACACCCTGTGAGGGAGGTGGGGCTGAGAGAGCTCTCTCGAGGACTGCCCTTGAGAGAACAGCTCTGAGAAAGAACTTGTGACTGACCCAAGGTCACAGCAGCAGCTGCATGTGGAGGAGTGGGGAATCAAACGCGGTTCTCCCAGATTAGAGTCCGCGCTCCTAACCACGACACCAAACTGGCTCTCTAAGGAGATGCTGGTGAAATGCCCAGATCTTGCAGCATGTGAGGCAGACCTCAAAGACCTCTTTGGATGAGGGAAGCCATCCAAGAAGATAGCACAGGCAGCGTACAGACATCTGAAGGAAAGGAAGCCTAATGTGTGCCTTGGACTTTGGGTCTCTTGGCCTCCTCCTCTCCACTGTCCCATGTCCCCCCACAAGTCCTGGCCGCGGCCTGAGAGGGGCTGTGTTCTCCACGGGGAAGTGGCCGTCACGCTTGGGTACGGCGCACCTGCTGGTGGCAGTGGTCTGCTTTCGGCTCTTCCTTGACCTGACTCTTCTTTTCCTTGGACAGATCTCATCCCCGCGACCTCCCCTTGAGCACGGACATCAACAGTCATTCCATCGTCACCGTAATTAGCGGGGAGGAGCAGTTTGAGGATTACGGGGAAGGGAACGAGGCGGACCTCTTCTCGGACAGTTTGTGCAACGGAGAAAGCAGCTACGCCAGCTCGTCCTTCCTTTCTCCCAGGTAACAGCCAGTCTGCAGCGGCTCCTTTTCCTGTCTCGGGCCTTGAGCCTGGGTTGTACCTGTGTGGGGCTTGTGGCTTCTGCCGCCTTGCCAGCACAGTAACTGGAGGAAGGGACGGTGTTTCCATGTTCAGTGAAGGGTTTCAAGGAATTCTCAAAGCCTCCTCTCCTAGAGGAACTGGACTGGAGCGTCAAGTGGAGGGGAGCTGGTAGGTTCTCTGCCAGAGAGAGACAGCAGAAGTTCTGTGCAGAGACTCTGCCTAGGTGAGATTTCTTCCTGGTTCCCCCAAACTGAGCAGCGACCCCCCCAGATCACCCCCCAAAAAGTCTCAGGGCCGATTTCCCCAAGACCGGCCTAGAGCAGGACCCACGAGGAGTCACAGGATTGCTCCAGACTGCGACTTGCTGTGCTCTTGGCACGCAGACGCTTCCCAACACCCTCTCGGCAGCTTTCTGACGGCTGAACCGTGGTCTGGGTCGTGTGGCTGTGGCGTGCAAGCGGAAATGTGGCCCGGTTCTGCTGGAGCCAAATCCCTGCCCTGCCTCAGTTCGGTGTTGGGCATTAGCCTGGCTGCAGGATACAACGCAGGGCCTGAGCCCGTCTTTTCACGGAGGCCGTTGCAGCCTGGCGTCTTCTCCACCCCACCTCTCTCCTGCTCTCATCTCATGGGTCGAGAAAGAGGGACCTGGATAGCCCCCAGGCAAAGCCCGCTCCCGTCAGGTCTCGGAAGCTCAGCAGGGCCGACTTTGGCAAGTCCTTGGATGGGAGACCTCCTTGGAATACCAGAGGCGGGAGGCGGGGGCAGGCTTCGTTCAGCCGCTTCTCTGAATATCCTCCAGCCTCCCTGTACGGGTCAGTCACCAGAGGTAGACACAACTTCCAGGTGCAGACACACACACACACACAAATACAAAAGAAAAGAAAGAGGGAAAGGTTCTCTGGTGTTTCTGAAATGACCTTAAATGATCATGGTGGCAGTCTTGCAGCCCAGGCTTGACCCGCCAGGCCCTGGTGAAGCATCCCTGTCCTCTGCCAACAGAGGGCTCTGCAGGGTCTCCAGCTGGCTTGCTGGTCAGTCTGATCCCCCAGAACCACGGAGGTACGTGGCCCGCTCACTCCCCGCACCCCCTCTTTGTGCAGCCCGTGGAAGAGAACGGACGGATAAGGGGGGGTGGTCGAGGAAAGAGTCTCTGGCAGAGAAAAGGGGTCTCTAGGCCCATGCTGATCTCCCTGCCCCTGAGAGGGCTTTTGGCAAAGGCCACAACGTAGCCTGCAGTTCCAGCACCCCTCAGAAAGCAAAGCTCGCTCCCTGCCCTGTGGGGACGCTTCGCTGCCATGCCGCTTGGTTTGGGCCTCCACCGACTTGGGAAGGGTTCGGCTTGGAGTGGGGTTGCCCACTTCCCTTTGATTTCTTTTTAAGAAGGGAGATTTCAGGCAGGGATGCATCGGAGGCCTTTTGTGCCCGTGCGTGGCGCCAGGTGTCCCCGGCCTGTGGTTGTCCCCTGCTCCCGTGGAGTAGTGCACTGTCGACCCCCTTTCTGACGGAATTGCCCCATAAGGGCTGTTTGGCATGCAATGCTGCATCTACACAGGTGACATTTGTGAGCCTTGGGCACAGGTCTCTTGCTGCGGATGGGCATCGCCGCTGACAGGTTCCCATCTGTGAACTTGTCACAATGGTCACATGGGCTTTAAAAAAAATGGCGTGTGCAGGTTTTTGATGCACCCCTAACTGAAGGGCAGGGAAGCTGAGATGGCCTTCGAGTGCCGCTTGCTAGAAATACGGAGCTGGGATCTATGCTAGCTGTGTCCACTCCGCGTTTTGAGATTCTCCAAGCCCCTTTAGTAAAGCGCGTTGGGGAGATTATACATTGGCTGCCCTTAGGAAGGGAGCAGACATACAGTTCACCACAGAAACTGCTGGGATGTTGGTCCACACCAAGAATAAGGCACAGTGGAGGGGGAGGGTCTTGCCCACCGCCAGGGGACTCTCAGAGCATGTGATTAAATGCACGTGGCCCTGAAGTGACCAGAATCGATTGTATAAGAAAAGACGATCGTAGGGAAAAATTGGCATAGTCTTCATGTGCGGGCTACGACCTCCCTTGCAGACCTGTTTTAAGTGGTGGTGGTGGTAACGTGGTTATTATTTGGACGGGAGACCGCCATGGAAGACCAGCATTGCTACGCAGAGACAGGCCATGGCAAACCGCCTCTGCTCGCCTTGAAAACCCCGCCCGCCAGGGATCCCTATAGCCCAGCTCCAACTTGATTCTGCTTTCCACGCTCCCCCAAGGCGAGGGGCTCCACGAAACAGATGTGTTCTTACCGCTGCTGCTTTAGATGAGCGGTCGGCTCCCCTTGTGGGGGGTCTCCCCCTTGGGCAGACAAGAGCCCTTCCCCCTTACTTGTGGCCCTGCCAGGGAGAGGAACACTTTGCTGGCCTGGCCAGGAGGCGAGGAGCAGTAGAATTAGAGCCTCGCGCCCTAGAACAGATGTTGCAAAAGCTGTGGGAGCGGTTACAGTACGGGAAGCCGTGGTCCTCTTTAAGGGCTACCCTCCGTCTCGTGGGCCAGAACCGGCGGTCCCGTCCCATTGACCCATCGTGTGTTGTTTTTAGTATCGGGAATGTCTGGAGCATGAGCACCGTGTGTTCTGTACATGTGTCGGCTCCCGAAGGACAAATTCCGGGTCTTCTCCTCCGCTTCTGGCTCCAGCACTGGCCTTTTGGGAAGGGCTGGCAACAGCTGCCGCTGGCGTTGGACCCCATAAGTGGAAAGAGAACTGTTCTAAAAAAAAAGTTAAGCTCCAGAGGAAAAGGAAATCCTCTCCTGTCCTCCCCCCCCCTTCCCCAACTTTTACGGGAGCTTAGCTTGCAGTTTTTAGGCGGGCTTCGTGTGAAGCCCGGTAGTTAGTTGTAGAACTTCTGTTGGTGCCGTGCCAAACCAAAGATTCCAGCGTCCTGTCGCTTGAAACTGCCTCGTCACTCCCGTCTGTGGTTCTCAGTGGGCGCTCCACAAACAGTGCTGCGTTTGCCGCTTAACGGACTGTTTCCTTTCCAGGTATTTTTGAAGTTTTGGAGAGGAGAGAGGACAATGGAGAGCAAGGTGTAGAACAACCCTTGTGCATTCCCACACGTTTCGCAGGAAGCTTCGTCAGGGGGATCGTTTTCAGACGTTTTCCCGTTCCCACCTTTACTGTTCAAGGCGGGAACTGGAAAACTTCCGGAAAAGAGCCCCTGACAACACTTACTGCGAAACATGTTGGGGATCCACAAAAATTAAATAAAATTTCCTGTTCTGCACCTTGCTCTCCTTCATCCTCTCTGCTCACTGGTGCAGCCATCGTGTTTCCTGGTATTTGAAGTTTTAACCTTGTCTCTGTTGGCGCGCGCCTCTGTGTGCGTGTGTGTGCTGTGTATTAACCCTCCGGTCACCGTTGTCACTCGTTAACCTCTCTCCGATGCAACCTTGTGGCTTCCAGAAGTTTCTTCCACTAAAATGCCTGCGTAACGCCTGCGTACTTCCTTAAAGCAATTATTAGCCGCCATTCTTCCTTACGGAGTTCGAGGCAGATTACAGACATGGCTAAAACACAGAATGAAATGCATTGGAAACATGAAAACCCACATGTGAAATCACTGCTCGGGACTGCCGGCAAACGTAACCGACTGCAGTCCGAAACAAAACCGCCTTCAGCTGCTTCCTAAATACTGGAAGACGGGGCCAGGCACACCTTCCTCAGGAGGGTCTCACTGCCAGGACCAGCGTGCCCGAGAAAGGGCTTCTGAAGTGAGGAAGCAGAGCTGGACTCTTCTGTGTTACTCAACAGGGCCTTTGCTCCACAAAGAGAATCATGTCCTGAGTCCTGGCATGGCATACTAGTGAGAATGATGGGCTAGGGCTTGGGAGAGCTGGGCTCCGTTCCTTACACTGCCATGAGCGTTGCTGGGTGACTCTGGGCCAGTCGCTGTGTCACAGCCTTGCCTACCTTGCAAGGGTGGTAGTTGAAGCCAAAATCGAAGATGGGAGAAGAAGAAGAAGAAGAGATTGGGTTTATATCCCGCCCTTCACTACCCGAAGGAGTCCCAGAGCGGCTGACAAACTCCTTTCCCTCCCCCTCCCCACAACAGACACCCCCTGGGAGGTAGGCGGGGCTGAGAGAGCTCTTGACAGAAACTGCTGCCTTTCAAGGACAGCTCTTATCAGAACTACGGCTTGCCCAAGGCCATCCAGTCAGGTGCAAGCGGAGGAGTGGGGAATCAAACCCGGCTCTCCCAGATTAGAGTCCGCACACTCAACCACTACACCAAACTGGCTCTCAAAGGAGTCTCAGAGCGGCTTACAAACTCCTTTCCCTTCCCCTCCCCACAACAGACACCCTGTGAGGTGGGTGGGGCTGAGAGAGCTCTTGACAGAAACTGCTCTCTTTCAAGGACAGCTCTTATCAGAACTGTGGCTTGCCCAAGGTCATCCAGGCAGGTGCAAGTGGAGGAGGAGTGGGGAATCAAACCTGGTGCTCCCAGATTAGAGTCCGCCTGCACTTATCCACTACACCAGACTGGCTCTTCGAGTTCCTTGGAGAGGAAGGGGTGGGATTAGAGCAAGATGCGATAGATGGGCGGTCAGGCCCGGGGCTGTTCTCTTGCCCGGCTTCCACTTTCCAGTGATTCTGGGAGGGTTTCCAGCACAGCCTGCTTGACTGACTTCTGGCTTTGTTTTCTCCCTTCAAAACGGTCGCTTGCGCCTCTGTTGCCTCTGTTGTTGTTGAAGCAACGGCAGGTGGTAAAGGAAGAATGAAGGTCAGAGCTTTGCAGGGCCCAGTTTGGGAGCTGGCGGAAGATCCTGCCCCACCTGAAGCAGTGATTCACACAAAGTCTGGCTCCTTAGAGAGAAAAATCACGACCCGACTGCGCCCATCTTAAAGAACGAGCGCGTGTGCTCAGAAGGGGAAGGTTTCTGGCTGGGGCTGCCCGAAAGTGGTGGGGTCCACGACTCCACCCGCCTCACCGGTCCGTCTCTGCCCCCTTGGGATTTTCCCACTGCACCCTGCCAGAGGAAGGATTTCCCAAGAGCGGCGTCTGCCCCTGAGTCATCCAAGGAAAACAGAACTTACTGTAGCTTCTGTGGCCTGTAGAAATGGCAGGCGGCTCAAAAAGGGAGTCGCTTAATGAAGCGGCGCCTTCAAGGAAAGGGAGCATTGCGTACACGTCTCTGGAGTTGGAAACCCAGACCTTTTCTTCTTCATCCTGCAAACGGCTGAGGTTAACAACAGATTGAAATTGAAATAGGTTAGTTTTTCAAAACAGTTGCATTCTCTTTTCCGGTATAAATAACCCCAAAGGCCAGATCGTATTAAAGTCCCCAAGCTTAACCCTAAAGTCCAACATGCATCAAATCCTTAGTAATAGGACAACCCGGAAATCGGTGTGGTTGAGGGATGCTCCCCTAAACCCATCGCATCCAGTCTCTCAGCTATTCTTACAGCCCATCTTTGTTTTAGCTGTTGGTTAAAAGAAGCTTCTAACCAGGCTCCCAAGAAGCATGCAAATGCCGAAATACTAGCTCTTCTTCCCACTTCCCCTTGCATTCCATGAAACTTTCTTACTTCCTTCATATCTGGGCTGGTGGGGTGCCACTGAAGAAAAAGAAGAAGAAGAAGAAGAGATTGGATTTCTACCCCATGGCCCTTCACTACCCAAGGGAATCTCAGAGCGGCTGACAAACTCCTTTCCCCTCCCCTCCCCACAACAGACACCGTGTGAGGTCGGTGGGGCTGAGAGGGCTCTTGACAGAAACACCTCTCTTTCAAGAAGAAGAAGAAGAAGAAGAAGAGATTGGATCTGTACCCCGCCCTTCACTACCCAAAGGTGTCTCAGAGCGGCTTACAAACGCCTTCCCCTTCCCCTCCCCACAACAGACAGGCACTCTGTGAGGTGGGTGGGGCTGAGAGAGCTCTTTCGAGAACTGCCCTTGAGACAACTTGTGACTGACCCAAGGTCGCACCAGCATACCTAGCAAGGGATACTCCAAAATGCAGCTCATTCTGTCACTTTGATCTGGAAGAAGAAGAAGAGACTGGATTTATCCCCCATGGCCCTTCACTACCCGAAGGAGTCCCAGAGCGGCTGACAAACTCCTTTCCCTTCCCCTCCCCACGACAGGCACCCTGTAAGGTGGGTGGGGCTCAGAGAGCCCTCTTGAGAACTGCTCCTGAGAGAACAGCTCTGAGGGAACTTGTGACTGACCCAGGGTCACCCCAGCAGCCGCATGTGGAGGAGTGGGGCAAACCCGGTTCTCCCAGATTAGAGTCTGTACTCTTAACCACTATATCAAACTGGCTCCCAAAATTGGGAGTTAGTCTTCCTGGGGCAGAATTGACACCCGTCTGGGGGTTGTGTGCATATCCCGGAGCCCAGCCCTTTCTGAGCACGAACTTGATACCTGTGCAGAAAATGCCTAAACATGGACTCTGCCGATAAGGACGTAGATCTGTGGATCGGGAAACGTCGCTTCCCCCACCCCAATTTGTTTCTCTGAAGCCCCACCTGAAACGGAGATCGCCTCACCTGGCGAGGGAGACCAGCTCTGGGTCCCTAGATGGACGCGTCGTGAGTTGTCCCTTGGCCTTACTGGGACTCAGTGGTGCCGGCAGTCCACGGGTGGCTTGCGTCTTAAGTGTGTCTGGTGCCTCCTGGCATGGTCCTGACCTGGACCCCTGGCCTTTTATTTCCAAAAAACCCTTGCCTGGGGCAAAACCAACCCCAGTAAAAACTGGCTCGTTTGAGAGTCTGGAGAGACATCGCTTCTGGAAGCCACACGTGGGCCGGAGTTGCCACCCTGTGTGTGTGTGCGTCCGTGTGTGTCCCGTGAGCACTAAACGAATGCCACTTCTGCCCTCTCCAGCGCCCACCCGCTCACCACCCAACTGCACAGCATCCTCACTGACGAGGCGTTTGAGTTTTACTGTAGCCAGTGCCACAAACAGATCAATCGCCTTGAGGATCTTTCAGCTCGCCTAAATGATCTTGAAATGAATAGGTAACTGGGTCCGTGCATGGCCGTTTCCCTCTTTATTTACAAAAGAATAATAGTAAAAACCGAAGTGCATGACGGGTGCGTTCAAAGGGAGGAAGGACTCTCACCATTTTGCCAGGCGGGCTGGTGTGATTTATTGGTCTAAAATGGAAACGGGTCTGGCCTGCGTATAAAAGGAAGGCATTTGTGTCTAGAGGCAAAGGACTGAGCTGTGGCTCAAGGCTCACTTCTGTTGTGAAAAATCACTAGGCGGCCCTAAACGAGTCGCTCTGATGCTCTGTCGGTGCGCTCAGTGATTTCTGGCTGAAGCCCTTTGAGAAGCTGGTGAATTCGGCTGTTCTCGCAAGAGTGGCTTTAAATCCGACTGTCTCCGGTGGGAGTCTTTTCTCCTGTCCTTCCTCGCTTGCTGTCTGACAAACCCTCTCTCTGCATGATCTGTGTGTCTGTCCCTCGCTTTCCCCTCTGCTGGGTGATCCGTGTCAGGTTCATGGGATGGGGCTGAGGAAGGAGTCGGGGAGTGTCGGGTGGCAGCAGGAGGCAATCTTGGGGTGGGGAGGTCCGGAAGCCGAGTCTTGAGGCGGGGGAAGTGGCTCATAGTGTCTTTAATAACAACACTTACCGACTGTCCTTTCAACAAGAGAATGTTGACAACATTGACAACAACTTAAAAACCTCAAAGAACCAACTAACAAAACAAATAAGTGCGCCAGTAAGAATCCCAGTTGCCCGACAGGATTGAGAAAAGCCTTCCGTCTGTTTGCAAGAGGAGACCCGAGAATATGGATTTTTTTCAGGGAAGTCTATTATCCTACTCTGGGGCTGTCACTGAGAAGGCCCCGCTCCTGGTAGCTCTCACTTCCCTGAAGGACAGGCCCAAGAGCTGAGATTCTCTAGGAGGATTAAAGACTTAGGGAAGGAGGGGGGTCTGTCGCGGGCAGCGGCTAGAAAGGTGCTCCGATGGCTGCCACCACTCTGGCCTGGGTGGTCTCCTCGGAAGGGCCCGGAGCGCCCACCCGACCCCTTTGTACACTCCCTTTCCAGGAGGTTTCCCCTTATAAGTGACCGAATGAGGCGTGAGGAGGACCCAGGCAGAGTAACAAGCCATTTCTATTGAAGAGATTTAACGACAACCGTGATTCAGTCATGTGTAGGGGAAATGAGCACAGTAAAGGTAGGTCAGCCGGCAAGATAAGAAAGTCCACTTTGGGCAAGACCTTTTCTCCCTTCTTCCCAGGCACCACCCTGTGTTCCTCTGCTGGTGTGAGTTTCCCCTCCAAAATCCCCTGTTAGTTTAGTTTATTATTATTACGGTCTTAAGACCAACATACAGAGTAAAGCAAACAGAGTATGGTACACAGTGTATGGATATTACACTATGCAAGGATTATTACTGTGATAAGTGCACTACACTAAATAATAACAGTACTGCAGAAATCAGAAAATTGGTTTTTAACGAAGCAAATATTGTTAATGACGTGCTCCGGAATGTCCTGTGTCGTTTCGACGTTCCTTCTTCCGAACAAGATTCTATAGATAATTTCCAGTGTTTTGTCTCACGTATGGGCTTGTGCCCCCGTGTAAGCCGCCCTGAGCCCATTCGCGGGGAGGTCAGGGTAAAAATGTTAATAATAAATACATAAATAAATAAATAAAATAAAAATATAAGAGTAGAAATGAAGCGTGATGGTCACATATTTTTTCTTCATAGGTCAATAACAAAGCACAAAGCACAAAGCACAAAATGAATTTTCTACTAGTAATTGTGTTTTGTTATTGACCTATGAAGAAAAAATGTGTGAGCATCAGGCTTCATTTCTACTCTTGTAGATGAGACAAAACACTGGAAATTATCTATAGAATCTTGTTCAGAAGAAGGAACGTCGAAACGACACAGGACATTCCGGAGCACGTCGTTAACATCGATTGCTTCGTTAAAAACCACTTCTGCTTATTTGAAACTGACTGCATTTTTGTATTCCAACCTTGTAAAAAAAGCATATCACTTTAACTTATTTAAACAGCACATATTTTCTGATTTTTGCAGTACTGTTCAGTGTTCCCTCTAAGCTGAGTTAGTGTGAGCTAGCTCACAGTTTTTTAGCCTCCAGCTCATACATTTTTGACTTAGCTCAGGGAGGAGGGGCTCCAGAGCAAACTAATTTATGCAGTATAGCCAAATGGCTCGCTCACAACTTTAATGCCAGTGGCTCACAAAGTAGAATTTTTGCTCACAAGACTTCGCAGCTTAGAAGGGAGCCTTGGTACTGTTATTATTTAGTTTAGCGCACTTATCACAACATACAGAGTAAGCGTAACATCTGCGGGAGGCCCCTGTTAGCCGATCACAGGGCCCGGAGGGTGACCTGGGAAAGGCAGGCCCTGCCGTCACTCTAATCCAGGCTTCCCTGGAGCCACTAGGCCTCCCCAGGGCCTGTAGGCCGCACCGCTATAGGCCCAGGATCATGAGAGGGGCCGTACAGGAGCAGCTGTGGGTCCCAGGCTTGCCCGGCTGACTGGCTGGCTCGGCAGACAGCAAAACGGTTGCTTGTTCCTCACCATCACACCCAAAGGGAGCATCGAAAGAGCAGATGAACTGCCCTGAAGGGGGAAGAGGATAAAGCTAAGGGGTAGTGAAGCAATCAGGAAGCATTGCGGTCTAGTGGTTAGAGTGCGGGGACGGGATCTGGGAGACCCAGGTTCGAATCCCTGCTCCGCCCTGAAGATTGCTGAGTGGCTTTGGGCATGTTGTGAGGATAGGAGAACGATGGGACCCCATTGGGGAGAAACGTGGGGTACAGACAAAGGAGACTGATTGTTGCCTTTGGGTTTCCCTCAAGGCCTTCTTTCAGCCCTCCTGCTCTTGGAATCGGGATGGGGGTTCCGGCAGGCCCACCTCTTCCCCATTCCCGTCACCCTCTTCCAGCTCCTCCCTTTCAAGTAGCGGCTTCCGCTGCTTGACGCTGCAATGGCAGGTCGGCAGATCTCCCCGAGCCCCACGTGGATGCAGCTGTTCTCCGGCGGAGGACCAGCTGAGCCCCAATGGCCGAGGAGGTGCCTCACTCTCCCGCGGGGGATGCCCTCGATGGATGAGCGGGCCAACGTGCCTCCTGCATGCCGGGCACCTCGTCAGAGGAGCAGCTGCTGCCTCTGTCACTGGCCGGAGGGATGCTGGATGGCCGCGGTGCTGCTGGGAATGCGTGTCGGAGAGGCAGGCGGGTGCTGCCCTTGGCTGGCCACCAGTGAGGGGAGGGCTCAGGCGGCGCTGCTTGCCTGGGATGAAATGGCCGCCCTCAGAAGAAACCCACACTTAGAATCATAGAATGTGAGAGTTGGAAGGGACCTTGGAGGTCATCTAGTCCAGCCCCCTGCACTCTGCAGGAGCATAGCTTGAAAGATAGCCCTACATATCTACAACATACCCGAAAGATGGTCGTCCAGCCTCCTCCAGCGAAGGGACTCCCTTGTAGTTTCCACCCATTAGCATCCAGGAGACCCGGGTTTGAATCCCCACTTGTTCCATGGAAGCTTGGTGGATGACCTCGGGCCAGTCACTCAGTCGTGATTCTTCTGAGGATAAGAGGGAGGAGCGTAGAGTGACGGGAGCCGCTTTGGGGGAGAAAGGCGGGGTACAAATGAAATAAATAAGATCGATTTCTGTGGCACGTTCGAGTCATGTCCCGCTGGCCCTTAGCTGGACCGCACACTATTGCTCTCGTCACAAGGCGCAAGCTGCCTAGTGGGTATGAATCCGGTGGGGGCTCCCTTCTGGCGGTAAGCGGGCCACTGTCCCGGCAGGCTCGGTTCTAATGTTTAGCTTGAGGCTCTGTTATCAGGGCTGGAGCTGGCCCGTGGAGAGAGGAGCACCCTTGGGGCGGGGGCGGGTGACTTCCGAGGGCATGGCTGGCGACCCCAGTGGGGCCGATGTGCAACTGTCTTCCAGCGGGGTGCAAAACACTGACTCTGGGTCTGGACTGGGGAGGAGGCACTGTGGGTGCATGCCCCCCCCCGGGGTGTGCTGCGTTTTGTGCTGTGCTGTGACTTGTAAAGGATGTGCCCCCGCTGCTCTGTCTCTGCCGGCTTCCTGTTTCCCTGTGGCTCTCTGGTGTCAGTTTTCCTGACTTCGTTTTCCTGTTGTTCATTCCACAGTCCCAATAAGAGACTCTCGAGCAAGAAGGTAGCAAGGTACGCTGATGCGGCTTCATTCCCCGCACTTCCTTTCCTTTGGTTCTCCACAGTCTGTCTTCCCGGCACTGGTGCCCTTCTCCACCTCGCGGGCAGGGCTCGAGGATGGCACCTCCAGAAGCCGGGCACTGAAATCCTCTCTCTTGACGGTTATCCCCCCCGTGGGTGGCTTCCTTTGGCACCTTTTGCTCTGGTCCCAGCGGGGATGGGGAGGAGTCTCTCGCCAAGACCCTCTGGGTTCCGTTTCGTTGTGGTCCGACTCAGAGCCCGCCTTGCATTCGGAGGTTTGGACCAGCTAGTGACGCCGTGTGAAGCACCGATCCGTAATAGGCCTTCCAGACTGGCTGTTCTTGTGTGTTCGGTTACAATCTCAGAGATTCCCCAGGGACTCCCTCCTTATGTGCAGCGATCACCATACCTGTCTGGCATTCAGACTGCAGGCTCACATAGAGAGAGAGAGCGGCCGTCTTGGCTGGATCCCCCGTTCCGCTGCAGACTCTCCCAGATGGCCACTGTGGCGTTGGGGCTTCTGCATCCCCCTGCACAGAAGGGTGCGGAACCGGGGTGTGTGGCAAAGAAGGTCGGGTCGCTGGCCCTTGCATGCAGCCATGGTTTCCCTGGGGAACGGGTCCAATTGCACTTCCCTGGTCAGACCCCTGCTGACTCGTTCTCCCGTGAGACCCCCCCTGCCTCTGGCGGAGTCTTAGACCTTAAACCGATGCCCTGGCGGCCTGTGATAGGATGTAGGTAGGGTTGGCAGCACTGAGTGGGAGGTTTTGGGGGCGTGGCCTTCCAAGGGCGGGGTCCAGGGAGGGGCTTGAGTGGGGTATAATGCCCAAGAGTCCAGCTTCCAAAAACGGCCTCTTGCTCCCAGCGAACTGATCGCCTTTGCCTGGAGACCAGTGGTTATCTCCAGGTGCTAACTGGGGGTTGGCAACCCTGGGGCTCTGTCCAACCCGGCGAGGCCTCTGGGTGGACCATTCCCTCCCATGGGGCTGGGGCTGGGCTTTGGAATCCTCTCGCCGATACGGTAGGGCCAGTGCCCAGGTGCTAACTGGAGGTTGGCAACCCTGGGGCTCTGTGCAACCCGGCGAGGCCTCTGGATGAACCATTCCCTCCCATGGGGCGGGGCTTTGGAATCCTCTCGCCCATAGGGTAGGGCCAGAGGGAGCACTGGGCTAAGAGGGAGCATTGGGTGAGGCCCCACGGCCCTTTGGGACGGTTCCTCGCCACCCTTTGGCGCTTAATCACTGCGGAGGAGTGGCAGCAGGCGGCATCGGCCGGTGTTCCTAGCTTGCCCGCCTCTCCTTTCTCCAGGGGTGAGGTCGGTCACTCTGCGTGGCCGCTGGCCCGCTGAGGGAGTGGGCGGCTTCAGCGGTGGTGGAGAAGGGCTTCCTGCCCAAGGGTCCCTTCCCCAAGCCTGATGCCGGGCCCCCGTCTTCAGTGCACTCAGCAGGATTCTTGAGCCAGCTGCTGGTCCCACTGCTGGGGACTCCCACCGTCGGCCCTCCACGTGCCCTTCCCTCAAGGGGCCAGCAACGCCAGGCCCTCTGTCATGTTTAGTTTCCTCTCTGCCCTGCCGCTGCTGACATTTGTTAATACAGAAGAGTGTCTCCCTCTCCCCTTTTAATGGCTTCAATCCCGCTCGCGTCCTTTGGCGGAACACCGAACACCTCTCCCTCTGATAAGGCATATCGCCGTTGAACAGCTGATAAAAACGTCCGGCCTGAACGCCCCTTGGACCACAACAGACACATGAGGCCGCAAGCGTTGCAATCGCGAGCGTGGAGCCGACGGCTTCCTGGGAGTAGGGAGGGCGGGGCTCGCTTCATGAGCGCCATTCTCTGCCTCTGGCCATTTATTGCCCTGAAACACCTGAAAGACACTTTGTCTTTCTGCCACAAAGATTAAAAAAAAAAATTAAGCAAGAGAAAGTACATCTTATCGTTCCCCGTTCCAAAGAGCAAAGGGAAATGACTGGTGCGGTGGCTCTCCAGGCAGGGCTTGGAGTGTCTGCCCCGCTGAGAGGTCTGCATCGAGGCTCCGACTCTTGGGGGTGTTTTTTTGCTTTGGGGTCAAGCCGAGCTTTTGAGTTGTGCCTTCCCCTTCTGCGTGACGGTGGAATCCCTGGCAGGAAGGGAGATGAGCCATTCTGGGGGACCTGACCCTGCATAGCCAGCCTTTTTTGCATCCCCCCTTTTTTGGCCCCCCCCCCCCCCCGGCGATGATCTCTCTAATGGTGTTCTTGCTTTGGGTCGGCGCGGTGTGTGTCTTTTGTAGGCACCTGCACCAGACGGGCACCCTCACTGTGAACGTGATGGAGGAGTCGTTCCAAAGCAGCATGGAGTGCCTGGAGGAAGATATCGCCGACAAGGTGCGTCGTGGGCCTCTCAGCCAGGGTGGGGTGCAGAGAGAGGCCAGAGCTCCCTGCCCCACCAGAGACTGATGGGAGGGAGGGTGGGCGGAGGCCGGAGTAGGCATGTGTCGCCAGGGAGGCTCCGTGGCAGAGCGTCTGCTTGGCATGCAGAGGGCCCCAGGTTCGGTCTCCAGCAGCATCTCCAGTTAGATTATTTATCTGCTTACTTGTCTTTGCTGTTTTCGCAAACCAGAGTCATAAACAGCAAACCCTCATCCCACAATAAGCCTCGTTCCACAGGGAAGAATTTAAAGGTTGCGACTGCGAAAGCTGTTGCGTGATTAGACAACCGGTGCTAGGAATGTTGCCACGCACAGGGTCGTTTTCTTGTCTTCGTCTCTAAGTAGCCAGGATGATTTTGCTTCTGGAGAGATGAAGTCCTGATTCCATAAAGGGTGGGGGGGGATCAGTTCATCTCTTAGAGCTGAAAACTTGGGACAGTCAAGCAAGATGTGACCCACAGAGTCAATTTTACTGCTGCCGCGATTACAGAGTCAATCTGAGTATGAAAGCCCATTAAAGTGGTGGCGGCTACAAGCATGGACGGCTTCAAAAGGGAATCAGATAAGCATATGGAGCAGAGGCCCATCAGTGGTTATTAGCCACAAGGTATAGATAGGGGCTCTGGGGCAAGTGATGCTCTGTCTTCTTGGTGCTTGGGGGGGTCAACAGTGGGAGGGCTTCTGGTGTCCTGGCCCCACTGCTGGACCTCCTGGTGGCACCTGGTGTTTTTGGCCACTGTGTGACACAGAGTGTTGGACTGGAGGGGCCATTGGCCTGAAGAAGAAGAGATTGGATTCATACCCCGCCCTTCACTACCCAAAGGTGTCTCAGAGCGGCTGACAAACTCCTTTCCCTTCCCAGTCTGGTGTAGTGGTTAAGTGTGCAGACTCTAATCTGGGAGGACCGGGTTTGATTCCCCACTCCTCCTCCACTTGCACCTGCTGATGTGACCTTGGGTCAGTCCAAGCTCTGGCACAGCTGTCCTTGAAAAAGAGCCGTTTCTGTCAAGAGCTCTCTCAGCCCCACCAACGTCACAGGGTGTCTGTTGTGGGGAGGGAAGGGAAAGGAGTTTGTAAGCCACTCAGAGACACCTTTGGGTAGTGAAGGGCCATGGGGTATAAATCCAATCTCTTCTTCTTCTTCCCCTTCCCACCACAGACACCCTGGGAGGTAGGTGGGGCTGAGAGAGCTCTGACAGAAACGGCTCTTTTTTCAAGGACAGCTCTTGTCAGAACTACGGCTTGCCCAAGGTTACCCAGCCGGGTGCGAGTGGAGGAGGAGTGGGGAATCAAACTCGGCTCTCCCAGATTAGAGTCTGCACACTTAACCCCTGCACCAAACTGGCTCTCCAAACATTTAAAGCCCAAGCACTGGCTTAAAAGGATTCCAATGAATAGAGACTCACACCGATTCCCCACAAGCTGCTGTGCCACCCTCGCTCTACTTTCCCCCACTTGCATTGGTCAATTTCACACTATTCGCTGTGCAGCCACATTTTGACCCGCGGCTCCCCGATTTCCCCTGCGTCTTCTCGATCTCAAAAAACAAGGATCAAGAAGATGCGGGGGGAGCTGTGGGTCAGAATGCGTCTGCGCAGCAAATAGAAGAAGAAGGAGAAGAGATTGGATTCATACCCCGCCCTTCACTACCCAAAGGTGTCTCAGAGCGGCTCACGATCTCCTCCCCCTCCCCCTCCCCACAACAGACACCCTGTGAGGCAGGTGGGGCTGAGAGAGCTCTGACGGAAACGGCTCTTTTTCAAGGACAGCTCTTATCAGAACTATGGCTTGCCCAAGGTCATCCAGCAGCTGCAAGTGGAGGAGGAGTGGGGAATCAAACCCGGTGCTCCCAGATTAGAGCCTGCACTCCTAACCACGACACCAAACTGGCTCTCTACACCAGACACAATTTCTTGTGTGAAATTGACCAGTGCCAGTGGGGGAGACAGAAGAGCGAGGGCGGCACAGGTGCTTGTGGGGAATCGGTCTCGTTGTTAAGTGTTTAGGAGAGCTGGAGGCCCCGGGCTGGATAGCCCAGCCTCCGAAGCTCAGCAGAGCCTGCCCCGGCGAGTACTTGGGTGGGAGTCTGGCAGAGAAGTCCAGGGATCCCGCACACACAGAGGGCAGGCAGTGGCCAGCCACCTCTGTTCGCCTCCTGCTTTGAAAGCCCTCCGGGGCCAATCATAAGCTGGCTTGCAGCTTTTCACCATCCGGGCTGGAGCTCAGGGGCCCTCGACTGGAGAGTGAGGGAGGGGCAGGAGAGAATACCCCGCGAAAGGCCACGGAGTTCGGAGGGAATGAGGGGTCGCAGTTGTTGGGTAGAGCTCCTTGTGTTTTGGTTCCGTTCCCAAAGCGTGCGAGTTAATACTTAATTCTGGCCGCGGAGTGGAAGCTTGGGAGGGAAGGCCCCGTGGTGCTTAAATCGCTCTCCCTTTTTTAAGGTGATCTTCCTAGAGAAAAGGGTGACGGAGCTGGAAAAAGACACAGTCGCGAATGGAGAGCAACACAGTCGACTGAAGCAGGAAAACCTCCAGCTGGTTCACAGGTAAAGGGCAGCGTTTGTGTGCGCGTGTGCGTGTGTGTGTAGGAGCTCATCTGTGCTCCCAAAAAGCGCGCAGTGCCATTCTAGCAGGCAGGCTGAGCGGTTGAGTGGCGAGGTTTCTTCGGGGAGGGAATCGTCTTCCTGTGCCGGACTTGCTTAGTTACCAAAGGGTGTGTGTGTGTGTGTGCTTTGGAGCCCAGGCTTTTAAGAAGCAGAGAGGGGAGCGACCCGAGAGGTCTCTCCCTACATTGCTCTGTTCCTGTAACTGTTTGCGTTTCCTGCCAGAAAGCAGGGGAGTTGCTCCGTCCCTTCCCGGGTACTTCGGTATACCATGGAGATCGATGGCTTCCTTTGTCTAGAACAGGGGTGGCCGGACTCGCTTAACGTAAGAACCACACAGAATGAACGTCAGATGTCTGAGAGCCACAAGACGGGAGCGCACACATTTTAAATGAAAAGTGTGCAACTTGTGCATGTTAAATTAAAGAGACAAATGCCTTCTCCAAGCCAAGCCCGTCTGCCGATGTGGCGGGGCTTGGAGAACGCGTTTAACTTTAGGTGTGGAGGAGGGGAGAGAGAGAGAAAGGTGGAAAGAAAGAAAGTGGAAAGAAAGCAAATGGGGGGGGGGCAGGTGGAAATAAAGCAACTTTAACTTTAAACGTGTCTTCCAAATCCCCTCATGCCGGCTGGCTTGACTTGGAGAAGGGATTTAAAGAGACAAACGTCTTCTCCAAGCCGGCTGGGAGGGGGCCTTTGAGAACACATTTAAAGTTAAAGTTGCTTTCTTTCTCTGCTCCCCCCCCCACCTCACGCCTACCTACCCCGGGAGGGGAACACTGGCTGGGGAAGGGAAGGCCGACCGGGGGGGGGCATGCCTCCCCTTTGCTTCCCCGGCCGCCCTGCCGGGAGCCGCACAATACGTGGGAAAGGGCGGGGTTGGGCTCCGGAGCCACAGTTGGGCCACCCCTGGTCTAGAAGGTAGGCCTGGGAACTCTGGAGTATCCTCCTCCAAGATGAATAACATGCCACTGAGTGGCAACCAACTCACGGTGGCCTCATCTGCAAAGCTTTCAAGGCAAGTGACATTCAGAGAGGGGATTTGCCAGCCTCTTGGGCTTCCTCGGTGGTCTTCTTTCCTGGGGGGACGTGCTGGAACGGAGTCCCGGAACCTCTTCAACAACATTCTTTTTGAAATGTTTAAATGCCTGTGTGTTTTCAGTGTGCAGATTGAGAACTTCATTCCCCTCTGGAGAGTTCCGGCCCCTCTTTCCCCCCCCCAAAAAAGGGGGGGGGAAGCCCTGCTCCCATCCAAGTACTGACCAGGCTGACCCTGCTTAGCTTCCTGTCCCCCTTGAGAGCCAGTCTGGTCTCCTGGGTTAAGGGCAGGCGGACTCTGGTCTGGGAGAACCGGGTTTGATTCCCCCACTCCTCCTCCACTTGTGCCTGGCTGGTGTGACCTTGGGCAAGCCGTAGTTCTGATAAGAGCTGTCCTTGAAAAAGAGCAGTTTCTGTCCAGAGCTCTCTCAGCCCCACCGACCTCACTGGGTGTCTGTCTGTTGTGGGGAGGGGAAGGGGAAGGAGTTTGTCAGCCGC